ACCAGCCTATTTAGTCCTTGTCATTGTTTTACAGTAACAAAACACCAAAATTAAACCTGTATATTTCATTACACAGAATATTTGGAGTCTTCCAGGATTATAGGTTCTCAGATCTCAAGAACCTTATTTTTCTAAATGGTACTCATCATCTTCATCATCATTATAATTCTTTGGATTTATTGAATAGTCATTATGGCCCAGGCACTCTGTTAAGTGCTGTGTATATATTATCTTAATTAACCCACTCTTCCAAGGACTATCTTCCCAGGAGACAGACACTACCAGTATTTCCATCTTACAGATGAAGAAATTGAGTTGAACAAAAATAAAGTGACCTGCCTGAAGGAAGGCTACTGCTAAGTGACATAGTGTCTGTGTTGAACACATCACTCTGGTTCCTGAGCATGGGCTTGTAATGATTATATCCTCCAGCTCCATCAGTGGCACTTTTTTTAAGGCATGTAGATGTTTAAGAAATTGCTAATTACCACTCACCTCTGTCTTGTTACTTCATTTGGCAACCTACTTTCTTTCCCTGGTGTCATATTTAGATGTATTGAGGCCACATTTTTATGTTCAGAGCTTTTATTTAAATGAAAGGGAAAGTGAGTCATTGTATTTTAGATGCCTCTTTGACTCCAGTATTCTAATTTTTCTTATTCTCCCTGGAAATGTGCAAAGCTTCTAACATCCTGGATGTCTGTGCAACTGAAGCTTCTGAAGTTAGAAGCATCACTCACATTACTTCCCTACCATCAGTCCCTTAAACTTCAGCACACTCCACTCACTGCCATCAATATCTGCTCACCAAAGATAAAACTTGTCATTCTTCTGTTATTTTTAAGGTGGCTGATTTTTTTGTGCATCTGAGGTTCAAGTAACATAACCAAAATCTGTATTCTTTCTTGGACATATGAAGATGTAAGTATGTGGAGGAAGTTGACCCTGCAAGTTATTTCTGTTTTCAAAGTTGGTGGTAGTGTTTGATGGACTAGAATTCTTAAATTCCACTTGAAGACAGTTGTAACATATCAGTCTAACCCAGATGGTCTAATGCAGGAAGCCACTGATCCTCAAGTCACTCAACAATAACCAAAGAGCTGTGTTTATCTACCTGTGACAGAAGAACAAATTGCTTCCACTCTGCCTTGACACTCTAACTGTAAATGTAGATAAGTCTGAAAAAAGTGTTTGTACCTACTTACAGTTGGGTGTAATAAGATGAAAGGAAGGCTGCTGTTGACATTCTCAATTTTGTTTTTTGGTTTTTTTTTTTTTCCTGAGGAAATATCTGGCCATATTGGCTTCAGGAGAAAAAGATCCCCTAAATCATCTGTGCAAAGAGCTGTGTGAACTCAGACTTACCAGGAAATTCTGAAGCAGAACCACTGCAGAAACCCCAAGCTTTTGTGTTTACAAGATGGTGGGGAAGTTGGGCCATGTGCTGCTAATTGCACCTATCATGTTTTTTTCACATGTGCCTTTCTCACCAGGCTTATCACTGCAAGAGCTTGAAGACTCTGGAGACTGTGACCCTCCACAAGGCATTTTCAGCCCAACACATTTATCCCACAACCAGAGACCGACTTATTTCTCTCATTTGGGGTGTGTTCTTTTTTTGGTCCTGCCCAAATATCTTTATAGAGATGCAAAGCAGAAGAACTAAAAGTTCAGCAAGTAAAATGAAAAGGAGAGGCAACTCTTCTTACATATTTTTCTACCCACTTTAGAGAGAGAAAAGGGAGGGAGATAAGGAGGGCGAGATTTTAAAAGTATATTGGAAACCTGGTGTGAAAACTGGGCAGTAGTTATCATGCTGACATCAGAGGCAAATTGGAGCGAGAGACAACTCTGCATGGCTCACTTACATGGAGAGCTGCCTCTCCTGGGTACTCACAAAAGAGTACTTTCCAAAACAACAACAGAATGAAATAGATGACAGACACCAGTTCCTCACCAGTCAAAATTGAGAGTATATTAATGGCTGTCCATTAACAAAGCTGTGTTACCCAGCATCCTGTGTTCTAAGTCTTCTTGAATGTAATTGGGAGGAGGCTAAACTGTTCACACAAGATAACAAAGAAATGAATAATTCTGAGTGATAACTCATTTCTCCGCTGACAGAATCCCACATCTGAAAGTTGGTTCCTATCCATCTGTAATTCAGGAATCTGTGTTTTCCATTACATTTTTAATCAGCCCCGCCAGAACTAAACCATTTTCAAAATATCCAGGGTAGAGTCCTGGCTTCAGCTTCTTAAGGGGTCACATGATGCATGCACAGTGTCCTCACATTCTTCTGGGACTGTGAGATAACACATCTGAGTGGTTTACTTCTTCTTTCAGGCAGCAAGATAAAACTTATCAGAATCAACTTTTTTTTTTCTAGGTCTAGTGAAAGAATTTGAAATGGTGAAGTTATTATAGAGATCTGGGATCATTACTTTTCATTATAGAGTAATACATGGCAGTACCAATTGGAAAAATCACGTTTTTATTTTGTTAAACATAACTACAGTGTTTTAATCCCAAAGTGAAAGAATAGCAGTAGAAAGGTTGTTTTTACCCTTGAGTAGTTATTTGACCTGACATTTAGGTTCCCGTGACTTGTTTTTCCTAATTTCACACAACGAAGGCCAAAGGCCACATTTTCATTCTATCTGATGCTGACATTCTCTAAAACAGGCTGCTCCTACATTTGAGGCCAGGGGATCATATTTCCCAAGCATAGCTGCAACACTGCCTCCCACAGAAACAGTCCTCTAGGACCTTGCAACTGCCCCTCCATCTTGACCATGGGCAGTCTGACGATGCACTTGAAAGCATTGGAATGAACAGAGATGATGCTGTGTAACCTCTGAGGCCAAGTCATACTTACCAATGAGCTTGGATACTCCCACCAGAGTCCTGGGCTACCCTGGAAGCTGTCCAACTTTCTTGGGTGGCACAAGGAAAGAAGCCCAGTGTCACCACATCAGACACATAGGGACATCTAGGACTTTTGTAGAAGAGCCCCCAGCCACTGCAGCCCCTGGTTGTCCAATTCAGCCACTGCCCGCAGCTGCTTGAGCCCTATGGCCAGACCACCTAGCCAAGCTGAGTGACAGAAAGATTTAAGTGAAAAGAAAGGAGACAAACACCTGTTTTAGGAACTGAACAAAGACCTGCTCTTGGTGGAACACACAAGATGAAGCTTCAATGATTCCTGACCCCCTGTCCTTAGTTTCATATTTAGGCCAAAATTTACAAGACTCACTAAGCAGCAGGTGCATGATGGTGGGACACACTGTTTCTAACCATGCAGAGGCCTCATTTTCAAAATACCTTTGATTCATTTTCCCTTCTCATGCAGATGGCATTGGTAGACATATCCTGTTTGTTCTCATTGACTACCTAATATATTTTCAATGGAAATGTTCCCAACCAGCAGTGTTCTTCTCACTTATGTACAATAATCCAGAGATTAAGACAATACCCAGTACTCTTAAGTGACTTGCCCAATGCCTCTAAGATAAGATGATTCTTTTCCATGTGCATTTAGTAAACTCTTCCTGTGCCTGCAGCCTGTGTCAGGCATCTCAGGAAATCAAAGATGACTCAGTGCAGATCCTGTCCCCAGAAGCCAATATGGTCCCACCAGGCTGCAGCATCTCAGGGAAGATCTGTACAGTGTCTTTTTTTCTTTAGAAGCAAGTGACAGTTTATATAAAATGACTATATTGACTTTCACTCATCTCACCAGCTGTTTGGCAGCTTTCATGATACACTTTAATGTCATGGAAAATTTCTTGTAGATTGTGCTGTTCTGTTTCTTTCTTAAAACAGAAAGGGGGTGGCGGGCAGCATCAGGACATCTGGCTTGTCTGTGGTAGGAATCAGGGAATGAGCACTTGGTACTTTTTCTACTCCATTTCTTCCTTTGCTGTATTAGTCATTTCCACAAGTCTCCAGATTATGGAGAACTTATTTTTCTTTTTGAATTTCTGAGTTTATGAAGACAATTTTGTAGTCCTATCTATGAAATTCATTTATTTATTCAGGCATCCATTTCTTTTACTAATACTTGCCAAGTAGTACCCTACTCTCTAGAAGCCTAAAGTCTTGACAGAAAGTAGACAGAAAAACACACAATTTTAATGCAAGAAAAAATTTGATTTAATAAAGATATGTGTAAGCACAGGTGGGGGTAAGAGCAAAGGAAAGGAGCCCAGGTCTCCTTGAGAACCAGAGAAAGATTCAGAAGAGAGATATAAATTGGGCTGCCAGCTGGAGAATCAATAAGAGAAGCAAGAGGCTCTGAAGACAGGAGTTACATTCTGGCAGCTGGAGAATGATGAGGCACAGCATAAGCTGAGTGTAGTTGGACTGTCAAACAAAACAGCAGAGTGGCTGAATCACCTGGACCTGGTAGAAGTAAACATCTACCCATAGAAAGATCTTGCACTTCATAGAAAAGAGTTCATGTATTTATCCCAGAGGATTTTGGAAAGCACCAAAATTTTGAGCAATAGAAGACATAATCATCTTTGTTTTATAAAATCTACTGATGCACTGAACTAATAATGAAGGATGAGAGTCATGGGGAGCCAAAGAGAAATACAGATAGTAAGTGGGGCTGTCAAGATCGTAGGCAAAGACTGCTGGCCAAGATGGAGGCATAGGTAGACATGCTTCACTTCTTTGCACAACCATAAGAAGGATCACAAGTGATCTCAAAACAAAATACAACCAGAACTGCCAACAAATCAAGTTGTATGTAAGTCTGACAACCAACAGTTTAAAGAAGAAATATTCACCCAAATGAGTAGGAAGGGTAGAGATGGGGAGCCAGGGCAGAGAGGGCATGGTATGGTGGCAGCGAGGCAGTGGCAGGAAGATAGTGATGGTGGTGGCTGGAGCAATGGATGGTCCCACATTTACATGTGGTGGATAAAAACTGGAAGGGACACCTGGGGAGCAAGCCATCCCAGCCCCAGACCTGGCCACTCAGCCCAGGGTTCCAGCACCAGGAATCCTTCACAAATTTGTGTGTCATCCTTGTGCAGGGGCCATGCTAATCCTCTTTGTATCATTACAATTTTAGTATATCTGCTGCCAAAGTGAGCACGCAACACCAAGAATATAAAGCCTCATAAGTTCTGGCTGTAAAAATCAGTGGGGGTTGGGGTGGTGGAAGAAACTGCCAGTCTCTCAGGAGTGTCCACTTAAAGGACCAACATGACCCTGGAATGTACACAAACCCACCCATTCTGGGATTCAGCACCAGGGAAGTAGCTAGAATGGAACCAGTCACATATGGGAAGTGGGGGGAGTGACTGGAAATGAGAAAGAGAGTCAAGCAAGCAGCATTGTTTCCTCTCCAACCCCTCCCCCATATACAGTGACACAAAGTTGCAAAGCAGATTGCCTCACCCTAGCAAATACCTAAGGCTCTGTCCCTTACAACAGATGTGCCAAGATAGAGTCAAAGCTGCTCACAGAAACAAACACAGAGAGGCTGCCAAGTTGAGGAGACAAAGAAACATGGCCCAAATGAAAGAACACATCAAAACTTTAGAAAAATAACTAAGTAAAACAGAGATGGCCAACCTATCAGATGGAGAGTTCAAAACACTGGTGATAAACACTTAGAGATGTCATTGAGTACAGCAAACATCTAAGGGCAGAAATGAAGGCTACACTAAATGAAACAAAGAAAAATCCACAGAGAACCAAGAGTGAGGGGAAGGGAACCAGGGTTCAAATCAATGATTTAGAACATAAGGAAAAAGCAAACATTCAGGTGGAACACAATGAGAAAACAGGAATTCAAGAAAATGAGGAGAGAATAAAAAGACTGGGACATCACCAAACATGCCAACATCTGAATCATAAGGATACTGGAAGGAGAAGAGGCAGAGCAATAATTTTAAAACTTATTTGAAAATATAATGAAAGAAAACTTCCCTAATTTGGAGAAGGAAATAAACATACAAATCCAGGAAGCACAGAGAATCCCAAACAAGTGGGACCCAAAGAAGGCAACATCAAGACATATCATAATTGAAATTCCACAGTTTAAAGATAAAGAGAGAATCTTAAAAGCAGCAGGAGAAAAGAAGAAAGTTACCTACAAAGGAGTGCCCATGAGGCTGTCAGCTGATTTCTCAAAAGAAACTTTGCAGGCAAGAAGTATTCAAAGTCATGAAAAGCAAGGACCTACAACCTAGATTACTCTGTTCATCAAAACTATTATTTAGAATGAGAGGGCAGACAAAATGCTTCCCAGACAAGGTAAAGCTACAGGAGTTCATCATCACCAAGCCCTTAGTATATGAAAAGTTAAAGGTTGTTAGGTAAGAAAAAAAAGAAGATCAAAACTATGAAGACTAAAATAACAACAAACTCTCAACTATCAACAACTGCACAAAAAAAAAACAACAACAACAACAAAAAAAACTAAGCAAACAACTAGAACAGGAACAGAATCATAGAAATGGAGATTACATGGAGAGTTATCAACAGTGAGAGGGAAAGAAAAAATGAAGGAAAATGTGCAGGGATTAAGAAGCATAATTGGTGTGTACAAAACAGTCAGGGGGATGTTCAAAATAGTATAGGAAATGGAGAAGCCAGAGAACTTATATACATAACTCATGGACATGAACTAAGTGGGGGAGTATTGCTAGAGGGAAGGGAGGTACCAGGCATAGGGGAGCAAAGGAGAAAAAAAAAGTTGAGACAACTGTAATAGCATGATAAACAAAATATACTTTTAAAATGACAACAGCCAACACACACACACAAAATTACAGGCAAGAGATGATGTTCAAAGTTCAACAGATGCGATTAGACTCTGTGTGATCAAAGGGTCAAAATGAAACAGTGAACAGAGAAAAGCTGGATTAGAGGCATCACTTTGACAAAAGCTGAGTTAGTACCTGTTGTTGGCCAGGTGATAAGGTAGCTGCCAGGGAGAGAAAGATGAGAACACATGGTCCTTGTCTTAGGAGAGCTCCAAGTAAGAGGAGTAGAACCAATCAGGTCAGCATCATTGGCACACAATGGGATAAGCATGAAAGGCTCTGGAAACAGACAAACCAGAGTTGGTCAATGATAGAGGATTTAATCTCTGATTATCACAAACACTAGGCTGAATACCTACTCCATGCAAGATGCTGTGCATATGCTTTATGTACACCATCTCCACATAAGACAAGATACTAAAAATTACATTTTTTAAAAAACTTGAGCTAATTACTCTTAAGTTGTCTCTTTTCCCTCCAAAGATTTGAACTACTCCAACGCTATTCTTATTAACAATGAGGTAAGCACAAGCACACTCCTTGCTGTTTGAGCAAGAGAATTTTGGCAGTTCCCAGTCCCCCTTGGCTATGATTATCCAAGATACAATTATGTTAATTAAAAAAAGACCTTAAAGATAACCTCTACAAAGATACACATCTGAACTGCTAACTACAGCACCTAAATTATGTTGTCTTCTTTAATGATGGATTTAGTTCTTACTTAACAAGATTTTAAGGAAACATTAACAGATTGCAACTCTTGCCCTATGTTTGTACTCTAGTTAACAGCCCAGCTGAATATTAACCACGAGTTAGTGGTTCGACATAAGATGGAGCCCAAGGTCACTTTGAGTGGCATGTTCAATGGAGGTAGCTGACATACATCAAGCTACAGGTCCTGGCTGAGTCCCAGCTGGGACCTAAAGCTGAACACCTTTCTCAAGGACACAGCCTGGCCACCTGTGTTGTTACATTGTGTGCAGCATGGCTGCCAGGAAGGCACATGCCAGTGAGGATTATGGACATTCATGTGGAGGGAAATCCAGGCTAAAAAGCATTTAGACAATCTTAAGTTATCTCTGAGATCTTTAGAGAACAGTTGTCTGTGATGGACCCTTTTATCACTTAAAAGATGTTCTGTCTTACACTTTATGTACAACTTTATTCAATTCAAAGAACGAGGTTTTTATGAGTGCCAAAGTCTGTCTATCTTGTTCCAGAATTATCCCTATCTACCACCCATCCAAGTGGTTTTCATGGCATCTATCACTTTCCCAGATAAATGGGAGGTTTTTTAAAGGCAAGGCCATGTCCTGTATTTATTCTGCAAACACCAACACATGCACATGTGATGTGGACAAACTCCCTCTGTGTTTGGTTGGACCACCTGCTATCTGGGGACCTTAAGCAAACTCCCTTCACTCTCTAAGCTCCAGTTTGCTTGTGTGTAAAAGAATAATATATTTTAAAGATTAAACTAGATAATAAATTTAAACAGTGCTCTGTAAACCTAAATAAATTACCAAACAATTATAAAGTATATAAATAATACACATATTACCAAGCATGCTCTTAGGAGTAAATCTGCTGTTACGGATGATTCTGACCAGTGAAAATACCCCCCTCCTGTCTTAATCAGCAAACCTCTTACAGAAAGAATTTCTGAAAGGGAAAAAAATTTTTTTAATGATTTGTACAGGGATGTCATATATAACAATCTTACAAGGTTTTGGGGTTTTTTTTAATAATAGCAATGCTACCAATTATTTTCAGAGATTCTAATGCTGAGGAAAACTATGATGTTTAACAATATGTTTCAACTTAAAATGCAGTCTATTTCCTCATAGAATTGAGCAGAGTAAATACAATTAAGATAGGCCAACGTTGGTTTTGGAGGTCAGCCCCAAAATGAATGGCATGTTTTTGGTTCACAGGCCAGAACTCAATCTACTGAGCCACACCAGCCAGGGCCGAATGGCATGTCTTTAGAGAACACCACACATTTTCCTAGCCCTAGGAGAGAGAGAACCACCCTCCCCACCATGGCTACGCCATCCCTGTAGGCTGTGTTGGTGCCTTGCTAGCTCCAGACTAAGAATACAGCCCATTTAAAGAAGTCACAACTCAGAATCTACCAAAGAAAGACACATGAGATCAGCAAATTTCATCTAAGTGAGATAAGCATCATGACAATAAGACCATTGTTGACATTTTTATTTCATTTGTGTGTTATCGAGTTTTTAATTCAAAAACTGGGACCTAGTCAAAAATCAAAATGAAAACTGGATTTAACAGCTAACAATCAATCAATTATATTTACCTAAGGAGGAAAAAATAGAAAAAGAACTGCTCATATAGTGAACAAATAATGTTGATCTAGATGTGTACATTGGTACCTATCAGGTCATCATCATCCTTTTTTTCACAGCAGGACCTGCAGAGTGTGTGAAAATAGAACACATGCTATGACTCCCTTGCACAATTCCTAATTCCAACCACCACATTTGCATAGCTAATTAGCAATCCTTACCTCTTCAGCAAATACAATGCTGTTGTGCATCCTTAGATGTGCAAATAGGACATAAATCAGAAGGAAACAACAGAGCATGTCTGCACCATGTGTCTGCAGCTGCAACACCCATCCTCTTCTCTGTCCTTAGATATGACAGAGCTACCCATAACTGACATTTCCTTTTGTGAAAAAAATAAAAAATGTTCAACAGGAATAAGTGACTTCCCTTTGGTTTTAAAATATACTGATATGTTCATGAAATCTCCAAGAATGTTCTGGTCCTGTTCACTGAACAACCCTGAATTTTACAATACCATAATAGTGGTTGGTCATATGATTGCTAGGAAGTAGTAACTGGCTATTTGTGGCCATTTTTATTACAGACTAATAGAAGAAAATGAGGAAGGAAAAACTATTTGCAGGTTTCAATTGGTTACAGGAAGCACATGTTACACAAGCAGCAGATATGTCCTCTGTTGGAATTTGTTTCTTGATGTCTTTTTCCAAGTGCCAACCCTGGTTGCAATTATGGGCATACAGTTTTCTGAGAAAGCTTTTGGCTATTATTCAAATCCTCTTGAACTCAAGATTAAGTAGCCATCAATGTTTATTCTGAAAGGAAAAAGGAAGAAACTGGAAACCAGGCTCACACAGTTAGAAAGCCATTGTGTAAGACATCACTACCTTCAACTACATCCAAATTACACATTTATCATTCTCTGCTGAATTTTTCTTCCTTTTGCTTTGGGGTAATTTCTCTCAAGAAGGGGTTTGGATTGTTTGCATAACCCGTGCATCATCTAGTGGCAA